TTGTGAAAATGAGTACGCTGTGGTACTCATTTTCACAAATGAATACACTCAGCTGGTTAGCTAACAATATGCAAATTTACATGAACACCTGGGAAGAAAGGTGCAATCACTTTCTGTTGCCTAGCAAACGTCTGTACTGTAGCGTGGGGGGGGGGGGGCTAGCCTACTGATGTACTGTGTATAGCGGGGGACGCTGAAGCATAATATGGCTAGGCCTAGGCCTAAGTAGACAGTGCATGTGATAGAAAGTACACTTTCGAATGAAATAAATTAGAATAAGAAAAAAAATTAACTAGGGCCTAAGAATAATTCAGTTGCAGACGTACCTTGTTTAAGTATTACTGTATATGCTAACTATGTGGCTATTGTAGCCCTAGCTAGGCAAGGCATTCATGTGCGAAGCAGTGGTGTTTGTTTATCTATGAAAATTAGCACGCCAGGAAAAGGTGATGTAATCTAGCCTATGACGTATGCATGCTAACTATAGCGTGAGTGTGACGTCACCAAAAAAATAAAAATGTTCTATTACAACCAAAATATTAATAACTACAAGGTTTGTGGGCGTAAATTCCCTCAATACGAATTAAGGGTAGCAACATCTCCTTGCCATACAAATTACAGCTCCCATTGACGTCTCAGTCGAGAAATACGGGTAGCTGAAGTTTTTCTCGAAAATCTGAGTACGAAACCCTATCGAAATTCACGTTCCACTTCTGGCTCTGAGTTGTGCTTCGCACACGCCGCTGAGGGCGGAGTTCCGGGAACCATGCGTCAAGTGATGATTAGCTCTTCATCCTGAATTTGCCATCCATGACCATTTGGGGATGGTGGATTAAATTTTGCGATGAATAGAAGCTTGGTAATTAGGTCGCTTACAATGCTGTAAAAGTGCATCTTTTGTTGGAGGAAGACTCTGTTCTGAAGACGACGAGGTACAAAAAACTTTGTATCTGGCAACATTTACATCCGATGTCTTTACGCCATATAGTTGGCAAACAAATCCTTCTAGATAGACCTGCAACAGTTGAATCTTGTAGTGGACTTCAAGGGCAACACAATCCCCTTCTTGAATATGCATGAAAATTGACTCTTCTGCTTTTAGCTTGGCTGCTTGTATAGTACACCTAAACAAAAGTAAAAATATAAAATTCATTTTAATGATAGATATATTATATTCAGGTTTACGCTTTCTAATCATTCATATCATGTCACATTTATTTGTCAAATACTGCACTTTTTTCTGGGTGAAACATCTCTACCATTTGGAGGGAGTTTGTCATGATTAAACTGTATAGTCGCCTAGCCCTACATGGTATTACATTTTATTGATTGGCATCTGTAACCATGCTGTAACTAGGATAACCAATTAAGAAAAAAAACTTATGCAGGAATGCATTACAAGGTCAGAAATCAATAAAGCTAGGATAGCTATTTAATAAAGTTTACCTGCAGCTTTTGTTTCGGCATGAGATCCATTTGTCTTTTGCGACGAACCATAGTCAAACTTTTAACTTCTTATATATTATGCAAACTTTAGGTAATACTCGGGTGTGTGATGATTACGTTGGAAAACTCGATCGACGATTCTGAATCTGACCTCAGTTTCGATTTCTTTGGTGAAGGTTTAGAAAATCATCATTATTCTGCCTGGATTCTGCTAGTTCACGTTTTTTGTATTTTTTGCTAGCAAATTAAATTTTTCTTTTATTAATAAATAAATCACCTGTAGCACGTAGGGTGGTATCCGATTTGTAAGCTAGTACAGTATCATCATCTAGGTCTAGGCTACGGGTGCAGGTCAACTTGGCCACAAGTCAACTCGGCCACAGTCAACTCGGCCACAAGTCAACTTGGCCACAAGTCAACTCGGCCACAAATCAACTCGGCCACAAATCAACTCGGCCACAAAAAGTTCGGCTACAGCCAACTGGGCCACAAGCCAACTCGGCCACAAGTCAACTCGGCCACAAGTCAACTCGGCCACAAGTTATTTAATGTAAATCTCTGTAGCTTTTGCATCCTTTTTCTTCAATATCATGATTAAAATAAAGTACAGTATATTTTAGTAAAACAGGACCACCACACTACCAAAAGAGATTTGAATGCTACTGCCTATGAATTAAAAAGAGTTATTTATTAATGTGTTGTCTTCTGTTTACTCACAACATTCTACTTCAACAATAATATTAAACAACAATAACGACAATAAATTAATAATATTTACTTTAATAATACTAATTAGTCATTATGACAATAATAAAGGTGATAACAACAACAATATCATTAATAGTAATATTTATTTTAACAATACTAATATTAATAATACTAGTATGGTAATAATAACGATATTATTTAAATATCAATTTTAATAACTAATTAGTGATAATAACGATATTGAAGGTGATAATAGCAATAATACAACAATAATAAATTAAAGATAATGTTTATTTTTATAATAATAGTAATACTAATTAGTAATAATAATAATAATGATACTTAAATACTAGGCCTACTTAGTAATAATAGGGTAATAATATCGATAATAAAGGTGGCGGCAGCGGCGGCGGCGGCGGCGGCGGCGGCGGCGGCGGCGGCGGCGGCGGCGGCAGCAGCAGCAGCAGCAGCAGCAGCAGCAGCAGCAGCAGCAGCAGCAGCAGCAGCAGCAGCAACAATAATAATAATAATAATAATATGAGAAAAATACCAATAAAACACCAATAACAATAACCTTTTAAATTACTATTATTAAAATAATAATACTAAGACTAACAAATAATAATAATAATAATAATTATAATAATAATAATAATAAAATAAATAAATTATTTATTATTTATATGGTACTGTAATAATATCAGCAAAAATTTGAACAATACCGTATATAATGTTAATGCTAAGACTAATAATTAATATTAAAACTAACGGAAATACAAACAACAATACCAACAATGACAACAATAATAACAGCAATAATAACAACAATAAGTATTATAGTAATACTTAATTAGTATTTTATACTTGATGAATTACTCCTTCAAATTGTAATACCAGTAAATGACTTGTGGCCGAGTTGACCTGTGGCCGAGTTGATTTGTGGCCGAGTTGGCTTGTGGCCGAGTTGACTGTAGCCAAACTTTTTGTGGCCGAGTTGACTTGTGGCCGAGTTGGATCGAATTCTAGGCTACTACTATACTGAATTCACACGCCAGCAAATCTATCGTCGACTCGGCTAGTAGAGTACATTCATGGCTTTCCAAATCTTTCCATTGTTTTGCGCACATTCTAAATGTATTCCATCTTGTCTTTGTAAAAGGTTGTACCCCGCTTGACGGAAAATCATCAAAATGCATTGTGCAGCGAAGATTCTTTGGATTTACCCCTTTGTTTACAGATATTTTACCACTTCCAGGTGGTGGATCGTGCGGCAGCCTGTGGGTCGCCATCTTTGTTGTTGTCATAATGCGCCCTCAATGGTAGCTTAATTTGTTTTTGGGATTGGTCAAATCAAGTCACATGACAAATTCCAACAAAAAAATTATAAAATACGTTTGGATTAGAAGCTGTTAGAGAAACTTCTGATCAGCCTTAATAGGCCTTTTTCACGAATCGGTAGACATCTTGAATGATGACAAACATTGCGAATCAGCGGTGCGTAACCAACGGAAATAAGATAAGCCTTTGGGCTGATTTTCTGACATCATGTTGTTTAAAAAATCATAACTTCATAACGGGGCGTCGTATCCAAAAAATGTTTCCAGGAAAATGTTCTTAAAAGACCAGTCTACACCACTATATGATTGAAAAAAATTGAAAATTTTTTTTTAACCTCTGAAATCAAGATTGAAAAAGAAAAGCCTATCTTAGTAGTGTATTTAAATAGGCCAATGCATTACAGTGCAGTAGCATAGGACATTCGTGTTGTTACTGTTCCAAGTAGCGATAATATACATATTCCTCTTATTACAAAGTACAAGTTATGTTTTATAAAGAGGTATAGTATAGTAAATCATGTTTTTAACACAGGAAACTCTCATATGGTAACTAAAACAATGCTAGTTCAGACTATTACTAGTACTACAGCACTGTAATGCATATACCTATTTTAATACACTACTGAGATAGGCTTTTATTTTTCAATCTTGATTTCAGAGGTCAAAACAATTTTTCAATTTTTTTGCAATCATATAGTGGTGTAGACTAGTCTTTTAAGAACATTTTGCTGGAACATTTTTTTGGATACGACGCCCCGTTATAGAGTTATGATTTTTTAAATAACATGATGTCAAAAAATCCGCCCAAAAGCTTATCTTATTTTTTGTTGGTTACGCACCGCTGATTCGCAATGTTTGTCATCACTTCATGATGTCTACCGATTCGTGAAAAAGGCCTATTAATAGGCCTATATGCTCTACCGATTTACACAAAAATCAGCTGGTCCATCTGTTGCTGGGACAGAACTGAACGATACAGATTACAGCTGATGGCCTAATAGGGCCATGGTGTCATAAACTGGATGTTTTCTGTCTTTGTTATTCCATAGAGAAAATAGTCCGGTGGCTTATGTCATCCCGTGGGAATTTCGTGATCATTTTGTTTTTGTTTTTTAATTATATACTTTGAAGTATGCTGAATCGAATAAAATGAGTCGCCAATTTTTTTACGCTCATCTTCATATGCAAATTAGCTGAAATATGCAAATTAGGTCTGAAAATGTAGGGTACTTATATCTTGGTAACCACATGTCGTAGAAAGTTGCTTCTTTCTTAAA